GCCCAAAATAATTGTTTATTTTAATCTTATTCTCTCTTGCAACATCTATATAAACTCACAAACACATGCCCTCAATATTCATCCATTACCAATCCTTGTTTTTGATATCAACTTTCTCAATTTCTTTTCACAAAAGAAATTAAGAAAGTATCAAATTAAATTTCAGAAATGGAGGCATTGAAGATAAATCAATTCTTTGTTGCTATGGTGGTGGTGACCATGATGATGGCAGCATCAACTGTTTCAGCTGAGGAAGCACCAGCTCCAAGTCCTACATCTGATGCTACAACCCTCTTTGTGCCAACAATAATTGCATCATTTGTTGCTCTTGTTTTTGGACATTTTTTCTAAATTTATGAAACATGGTTATTTACCGTAAATTCTTTAAAGGATTGATTTATATTGGTTTTATGTATTAAATTATTATTCATATTATTATGTAACACATTGATTCCTCACTTTACATGTGTTTTGAATTGGATGATGTAACATTATTGTGATTTTTGTTTGGTTTCATTATTTATTTTCTTGTATATTCATTTTCTTCTTGTTTATGAAGATGATGATGTCAAGAGGATTATTTCAATTTTCCAAATCAAGAAATCTAATTCTCAATTTGTAGAACTCACGTATAATCGACGAGAATGAAATGGAAAACAGAAAAATATGAGAAATAATTAATGAAAATGGGAAGAATGAATAGGATTCAAAACTTGTGCATCATGGAAATTTGGATGTGTTCTATTAGATGGATGTCCTTAAACGGTGGATGCTAAGTTTAATTGATTGATAATAAAAACACTAAAAGAGAATAATAATAAACACAGAAAAGCCTAATCTTAAGAGAGGGGGGAGTTGATTACACAATCACATATTCCACACCTAATAATTCTAATACTCAATCTTTTGATGTCTGGAATTATCACCTTTGCAATGTTTGAGCTGGGACATGTGGAAAACACAACGTATCTTTGCAAAAGTTGGCAACAATAATTTGTAAGCAATAGTCTCTATGTGTTAGATAAGAAAAAATATTTTGTTTATTTACTTTATCATTGATCTTTATATAGTTACTCAGGTGGTTGTCTTTATTTTTGGTCCTATTGTAAAAATAGTTCAACCATATTAAGAAATTTGATACGTGAGAAATTTGATATGTGAGGACAAAAAAAAATGATAATAAAAAAAATGATCTTCAACAAAAATAATTTTATATAATAAAATAATAATTTAATTTGGTTGAATAATATAAAATAAAGACAAGAAATACAATAACTTGTTAATTTGATTCCATTAAATGATCTATTTTAGAGGAGAGAACAATTCTTAAATTCACTATACTTTCAAAAGTTGTTACAAAAGATTACAAATGAGTTATAAAAAAAATAGTTACTAAAGTTCTGAAAAATAATTCATAGTTTATGTCTGGTGTTTTTAAATCTCTTTAACTCTATATATGAATCACATAAGTTCAAGGTGTTTATAAGTTTTTCTCAATCTCTTTAATACCCCAAAAAATTTCCTCAATCCTTGTCTCTATTAGTTTCCCCTGACTAGAATTGTCACCTCTTTCATATGTCTTCAGTTGTAAAATTTTAGAGGTTGTGATACCAAGAATGGCAAAGATTCATATTTATAATTGTTGAAATCTAACACGTCTAAAATAAACCTAAAATACAACTCATTAACAAACAGGAGCACATACTCAAACGAAGAAGCCCAAAACACATGAGAAAATCGGACAAGATGATCAAAAACCCAAACTGACCTGAATCGCCACACGATGCCCATCCACTGCCGGTTTGTGGCGTTCAACTCTTGCCGCCTCTATCCACCTTTGTGTGACCTATTCCATGTGGTTTCGACGTCGTTTGTCGACCTTTCAGCTGCTTTTATAGCTTTTTCGTATCAGCAATGTCGAAATATATATTTTTTTCTTTTCACCACTAAAGGTTTTAAGACATAATTCAAAAATCTTCATCTTGACATGTATAGTGCCTCAAAAAATATTCGATCAATGATGTCACCACTGAGATTTATTTATTTCAAGAGGAAAGGGAAAATATCGAATAAAACCCACGAGAGAAAAGAAATAGTCATCGAGACCAAAGAGAGGGTTCAGGAGTCGGTTATGCAAGGGCAAGGTATTATCACCCCTCACATCCATCGTACTCGATGGTATCCATTTAGTTACTTTGTGTTTGAGCGTTAGTGTGAAAGTTTGTGATCTTCTAATTAAAGGAGAAAAGAAAGAAAGGAGAAATATTTTTTGGACTTTTATTATTGTGCTCGCCTCAGTTTTTAAACCCCGTGCCTACATATCGCCATAGTGCAAAAAGGATATTAGAGTTTCGTAGTTCATGTAACAAATGTTTGTGGATTTGTTCTTTTTAGTGAGAAATACTCGATCACATTCGAACGGAAACATTGTTGCCTAAAACATGGATAATGGAATGATTGCATCACTTCAAGAATGGATAGCTGAGTCTGGATATACACAGACTCTTGCCATCATTGCATTCGAGTGGAAAAGGCTCAACATTCACATGTGAAAGGAACGTTGTTTCATCATCGTGAAACGGGCGAAAAATCACTCGTTTCGAAAAGGTTTTAAATTGAAAATCCAAGTGGCAAAAGATTTGAATAAGTTGAGATTTATTTTTTTGTGGGAGATAAGAATCAGACCATGAGTGTTAACGGCTAATGCTCCAAGTACTCAGATAGAGGGGACAGAATCATCATGACCATCTTTTTCATCCCAAAAGTTTTATTAAGAAAAGGTGAGGCGAGACAAGGTTCACTTAATTTAATATTCATTTAAAGAAGCCAAGTTTAGGGTCGCAAGTTGAAAAGTAGCTAACAACCCAAACACTTGAGAACTTGAGAAGGAGAGGATAGAATCGTCCCAAATATCTTTCCTATGTTTTATTGAGAAGAAGTTTTGAAAAGGAACTGGATGTTGGATCGAGGTTTGAGACTTTATTATGAAAGCGATGATATAGAACAGGAGGAGGTCAATTGTGAATACAAAATAAAATTTGACTTATCAAATTGGTTATGGGCTTGGTATATGGACCAAGCATGCACGGGGTGGTTGATTGTGATTACAAAAGTAAACTCGACTTATCAAATTGGTTATGATTTGGTATATGGACCGAGAATGTGTGGGTTGGATTCATTAGCATGGACAAGAAATAAACAAAATAAAGGAAATAGATAAAGAAAGCGGTAAAGAAAGCGGTAAAATTATTACATCGTCATGAGAGTGTGAGTACACATTTTCAAATGGAGATAATGATAAGCGAGTAAAGCATACAAGCCCATACAAGGTGGCCCATACAAGAATGGATGATAAAGCAAATAAACATGAATCCTAATTTCTAAGTGGTACTAGAAAATTGGACTAGCCTTCTAGACGACCAATTGGAACAATTAATCGAATAGGCCTCACTGTAAGAATGCCCAGGAACATATGTGTAAGTGTGCATGTATGGTCATTTGTGATGCTTAAAAGCTTTATCGACTTATGGTATGAAAATTACTCGCAATCGAGAATTAGTTTCTTGAAAGGTTTTGTTCATGTGATGAATAATAATGAAATAATAAACATTCAAGCATAAAAAAAGGCGGTAAATTATTTACATAATAATGGGAGAAGGATACAATTTTATCGAATGGGGATGGTAATAAAGTAAAGCATAATGAAATAAGAGCTATAAAAATTAATTATTCCATCACCAAGAGAATAGGACAAATGTGAATCAATTAATTAAAGATTGATCAAATTAATTAAGTTTAAAAAAAATAGATTAGTAAACTAATACATTTTAATTAACAAAATTAATTAATAAAAACAATAATTAATTAATAAATTAGAAAAGAAATAAATGAAATTGTGCTAAGAGGAAGTGAGCACTTGAACTATCTTGGTAGCTTACACAAAGCATAAACATGTTAGTAATACAAAAAAAAGGTGTAATAAACACAAATAAAACTTGCTCTTAATTCATGTATAAGGAAACCAATATTTCAACCAAAATCATCATACATATTTGAATGGAATAATAAAGCAAGAATCAATGTTCAAAATGCAACACATTCAATTGCATATGAATAAAGTAAGTGGTAAATGACAAATTGCAACCAAAATCTCATGAAAAACTTTTAAAGTTTCAAAACAACTTCAATCACATTACAATTCTGATGAACAACACCACATAAACCATGAAACAATGACAACCCAATCACTAAAACAAAATCATCATTAATATCAAGTATCCAAAACAAAGTAATTTTCATAGATGTAAAAGAGGAATTAAAGTTTATGGATCGAATATGCTAAACCGGTTTTCACATCTTCAAGCATTCATTCTAAAACCAAAATCGCATAGCAATAAGCTCATGTATCAGTCAAATTAAGCTCAAAGCATGAGAAATAAAATTTGAACACAATTTTTATCATATTAATAGCATTCAGGAAGCAACAACAAAACATATCAATACTCCCTAATTTCATCTTAAGCATGTTCAATACAAAATGGAAATAAAACAATGTCACAATCATACTTTCCTCATTCAAAATCGACACAAATTAACCAAAAAAATGTCATCAACACTTCCTTCACATTAACTCAAATAACATGGTATCAAAGACAATCAAAATCCATTACAATCTAACATTAGAAACTCACAAACTTATGGTATTGACATCAAAGTAATTATTCAAATTAACACAAACAAAGTGATATCAACATTAGAATTTCATTCAGATTTAACATAAATAAAGTGGTATCAACATCAAAACAATTATTCAAATTAACACAAACATCGTATCGACACCAAAATCCGCTCAAAATTCATTCAGATTCGACACAAACAACACAATGACAACATCAACTTCATCATCAATTTGACACAAATAGACATAATAACAATATCACAACTCCATCATCAATTTTACACCAATAGTTCAGAAATTATCAACACAAATTCATCCATATTTAATAACACAATCCATAAATTAAATAAAACAATAAAGTGATAGTGAAATTGAAATAGAGTTGCTTAATTGTGTTGCAGAAGTGACTGAGTTGTTGGTGGCTAACGGAAGCGTACGACATCAGAACTGCTGGACCGGTGATGAGCAGAAAGAGCATAACAGTGATGTGAGGGAGTATGTTGGAGTAGTAGACCGAAAGTGAAGTTGTAGGACGGTGCATCAGAGTGTCGACGGAAGGGAGTATGTGACATTCGATGGGTTTTTAAATAGAGGGAGTATGATGTCAAGGTGTTGGAACGAAATAAGCAAAAGGTGGTTTTCAGTTGAGAGGGCGGAGGATGACGGAGCTAGTGGTATTAAAATAAACTACAGGTCACAAAGTTTAATAAAAAAGATTGCAAGTGATCAAAATGAAAATAAAAATGAAAATAAGAATACCCGATTGAACTGACATTGACAGTTAAGAAAGATACTGCAAATTGTACCGAAAAATAAAATAAACACACAGACATGATCTACGTGCAATATAGATTCATAAAATAGGCAGCTAAAGATGAAAACTCGAAATACTTTACCTGTTAATTTTTTGCACAGTGTCGAATTTCTTTTAACGGTCTGCCTGTAGAACTGAAATACCAATATTATTGAAATATGATCAACTTCGCGCAATGCATGAAACGGTGTAAAGAGATAAAAATGTATGAAGTGGGATATCAAGTATTTTTTTAACTCTAAAACGATGAAAATATTGATGTAAATTGACTTTTGGTCAACCTAAATGCGACTAATGATGCAAATGCAATGAATAAGGATGCTTATCAAAGATTGTGACCAGATAAAACAAAATATGCTATGCTAATGAAACTGAAAACTTAGAGGCAAAATTTGGGGTGTGACAACATGAAATTGTGATGATTTCAATTTAACCATCAACCACCTTGTTGTGCTCTACCATGTTGAATTATTATTCAACAACATTGATCAAGTTCAAGTCACGCTTGAACCTTGACCTTGTCACTTGCATCTACTTTCTTCCAACCATTTTTTTCTGCTTTCGTAGTATAACAAGCACCTAAGTATTTTTCTTCAACCATCTTTGACTCTGCCTAATTTCTAATGTCTCCCTCTAAAGGTCCTTATTTATGAGTTTTATAATCCTTCAGTCACATTCAAAGTATAACACTTAAGACCTATATAATCGTCCCTTTGAGATGGTACAATATATATCCTTACTTTATTATGAATAAAATGATAATTAGAGGCTTTTGTAATAATTCTCTCACTACTATTAGTATCCATAGTAGGAACGTCCACCTCAAATTAAGTCTTCTCCACCATATTTTTTAAAAGCTTCATCCCAAAGTCTTTACTCTTAATTCCATTATGGGACTTAGTTAAAGTGATACGTATTTGATTCATGAACTTCAATCTTCTAGGTTTCACTCTCAATAGCTCAAAACCCTTCCTACCACAAAATCCATAACTATAACTTTTGTTCATGATGTATGTGCAATATCCATGTTTTTAAATCGTTTTAGCATTGAGTTTACTTTAACGAAATAGATCAACAATTCTCTTTGATGAATTTGTATTATTTTGTTAAAGAGTTACCCTTGATCTCAACCGTAGTTGCCCCCAAGTCTAACAAAATTGTAAGACCCGTTATTAAGGCTTCTTACTCAGCCTTGTTGCTGGAACAACAACTATTTATTTTAAACTTATATTTGGTTGGAATTTCTTCTGGGGAAACAATGAGAATTACCACACCCATTCCCTTGGAATGAGTGGAACCATATAAATATAATGTCCATGTCGAGATATCAGTATAGTTCTACGCTATTTCAGTTACTGCATGATCAACTATGAAATCAACAACAATTTGGCCTTTCATGGCCTCTATGGGTGCATATGTTAGGGAGTATTCGGTCAGGTCTAAGTCCCACTTTCCGACTTTGTTATATAGAATCAGTTTCAACATCATGTGTTTAATGATGTTGAAATACAAATAAACAACACATCATAAGATTTTATATAACGCTTGAGTTTGGTACAAGAAAAATACAATGATAAACATAATTTTTCCACCATAGAGTACCTAGTCCCAACATCATTCATAACTCGACTAAAATAATATATGGCTCTATCGACACCATTATCATATTCTTGGGCCTACATGCTCCCAATTGTCGACTCAGATGCATCGATGCACAACTTCATCGCCTTGTTCCTCATGGGAGGTAGCAATATTGGAGGCTTCGATAGGTATGTTTTAATGTCGTCGAAAGTGCGTATATGTTCTGTTTCCCACCTGAAACCTTCCTCTTTCTTCAAGTGTAACAATGGTGAGAACACCTTTGTTTTTCTACTTAGATCCAAAATGATTCTTCTCAGAAAGTTGATATTTCCTAACAAATATCGGAATTGCTTTTTGTTGGTTGGTGGTTCATTATATTGTATGGCTTTTTTTTGTTGGCATTTATCTCAATGCCCTTTTTGTGGATTACAAATCTAGGAAAATAACCTATATGAACACATAAAGAACAAAGATTCTCAATGCCCGTGTTTTTTCATCCTTTTGAACGGTCGTCGAAGGTGGTCTAGGTGACTATTCTTTGATGAAGATTTGATAATTATGTCATCAATGTATACTTGCATGAAAGTTTCAATGAAGTCATGAAAATTCAGTTCGTTACTCTTTGATAAGTAGCACAAAAATTCTTTAGGACGAAAGGCATCATTACTCACTCGCATGTGCCTAAGGCCCCTGGGCATTGAAATTTCATTTTATCTACATCTTCCTCTGCAATGAAAATATAGCTATACCTAGAGTAACTATCGAGAAGGATGAGATACTCCGGCCCAACATCCAAATTGATCGACATTTCAATTGCTGACATTTGATATGCGTCTTTCGGGGTGGCAATGTTCAAATCTCTAAAGTCAATGCAGACTTTGAGAGTTCCATTTTTCTTAATAACTGGAACAATATTGACTAACCATTTGATGTACCTTGCTGGTCTAATGAACTTATTTCATATCAATCTCTTGATTGCAACTTTAATCTTCGACGTGATTTCTGGTTCGAACCTTCTCGGGGTTTGCTTCATTGGCCTCTTGTTAGGTTTAATTTGTAGCTTTAGCTCCACTAAATCAAGACTAAGACCAAGCATTTCATCATAATCCCAAGTGAAACAATATTTGAACCCCTTCAATACTTCAATTACTTTCTCTTTCATGTGTGAGGTGAGCTTGACACTAATGTAAGTTGGCCTCTTCATCTCCTCGTCTCCTAAATCTACATCTTCCAATGAATCCTGCACTTACATTTTCCTGGTTGAGATTGTTGGGTCTTTTTCGAACCCTAAAGGCCCATCACCATAGATGAAATCTAGCCTCCAACTTTTTGAAGTTGTTGTTTGGTCGGTGTAGCCAGATTGGTTTACTTGAGGATTCTCAGACTCAATGGCTTCGACAACCAAAATTTGTTGAGATTCAGCCTATAAAGTTGCAATTATTATGTTTTCAGCCACATAGGCCAAAATCTGAGCCAAAGCGCTTGACTCTATCATTGCTCTTCTTCTAATTCAGACCATCAGTTGTAACCTTTGACAGTCTCATACTCTCAGGTGAACTTGTGCTGAGGGTGTAGATTTACCGAATAATACACCTCATGTTCTTCGAAGTTAAACCCTTCTCCAACAGGTCCACATGGTGAAATGTTCGCTAACTTTCGGTCAAAATTGACTCTATCGATGTGGTTGACATCTGCTCTATAAAAAATCGGATATGCTTCTATCAGTTCGACGACCCCGTCAGGCTTCCAAATGGTGATCCTCTGATGCATGAATGAAGGAGAAAATCCCACTCCGTGTAACCATTACCTACCCAACAATAAGTTGTAGTTTGCCTTGGTAGGCACCACAAAAAACATTGTTGCTCTCGTAGTGGTTCCCATAACCACATCGACTTCCATGACTCCTAAGAGCTTGCTTGTTTTGCCCTCAAAATTTGACAAAACCATATTGTTACACGCTAGGTAGGTAGTGTCCTTGCCTATTCTCTTGAAAAGGGATTGTGGAATGACATTGACACATGCTCCATAGTCGATCAAGACTTTGTTGATTCCTATGCTATTTACCTTGGCCCTAATGTACAAAGGCTTCAGGTGTTGTTGCATGGCCATGTCTTGCATTTCTGAAATGGCGCGATCTTCATTCACTGATCTATCATTCATTAAATTATAACACAAAGGTTTATGGTGGCTAATTCATCATCGATACCACCTTCTTCTTCAGACACTTATGTGATTTAGTCATACTCTAATGGTAATACATATATCATATTGCAAATTATATCTAACTCTGGTTCAGACCCTAAATCGAATTTGTCTGCCTCCATGTCATCATCTTCACCAGTTTTGGCCTTGGTTACTTTTTCCTTATTTATTAGTGATAGAGGGAGGAATAACCTTTGCTTAACAGGCCTTCAACCAGATTTGCCTTCATTTGCAACTTCATTTCTACTGGTTTTATTAGAAGTTTAAGCCTCTCAAGGAACCTTCTTGTTTCTCTGGTGTCTCCTCCATTGAGTCTTGGTCATGGAACTTTTTTCGATGTAGTTTTATGAGACATAGGAATACTTCTTTGAGACTTGTGAGTTATATATGAGGAGTTAGCATCAACATTAACTACTTTCCACTTGCCCCATCAACAGTTGGCCTTCTTACAAGTCGTAACCATTTCTTATAGGTCGTACGTCCTAGTTTAGAATTTCTTCGAACCCCCTTTCTTATCGAAGGAAACTTCTTTATGGTTGGCATGTCGAACGAAATTCTTTGCTAGGTATGGTTTCACCCTTTCCAGATCTCTAGTAGCTTCTTTGTTAAAGACAATGTTGCATCTAGGGCACAACATGATATCTGAATCTTTTAACTTGCATTGATTCAAAAAGTAAATCAGTTCTTCTTCATCTTTGGGGTAGACTATTGTCGTTTAATCTTCATAGTTTTCCTGGTTGTCTTTGGCCTTAGCTTCGTCAACATTGTCGAACATCATAACTTCAACTAGCTCAACAAAGAGGGCCTCCTCAACCTTGGTTTCAGCATCTCTTTCAGGCTGTGGTTTCTGCTTATTGGCAAACTTGAGCCCGCCATCCTCGAGAGTATTTTGCACAAGATCTCTGAAAAGGACACATTGAGAAGTTTTATGACCCAAAAAGTTA